AGCAATATTGGAATATCAGCTATTCCACACAAATTATTCAGGAATAATTCCCAGAGGGGGTGAAAAAAAAAAAAAAAAAAAAAAAAGAATTCCCAACTACATTTGTGAATTAGAGAAATTCTTAATAATTGATAAACTAAAGAATTTCACTATTTGCTTCAGCATAACAACAAGAAAGATGTGGGGAAAATGTAGCAGTAAGTGATTCGCTGTGATTTTTTTCTCCTGTTTAATTACTTGACTGCTGTAAAAACTAAACCAAGTTTCAAAGGTAACTCAAATTCCCCCATCACTAGACAGCACACAGCCCTTCCCATCATGTGAACTTCCAGACAGCTGGGCTGAGCAGCTTTCCTTTAAACCCACCTAAGTTAAAGACAAACAATTTAGGTCCATTGATCTGTAGCTGCGGAGCCTCCTGTTTAAACTCGGGGAGATGGAAGAAGCATAAAGCTAGTGCACAGGATTTTCTTTGCATTGCTTAGATTAAAGGACCTCAGGATGAGTGTTTTGTGTGATGATCAAAAGATTTAACACACTCTGCACCTGTCACAGGTACGAGCTCAATTCCTTATAGATAAAAACAGAGTGGAGCTGGCATAGCATGAGAGACTTACAGGAAAGGATGCGCAGGGAGTATATTTAAAGCAGGCTGCATGAATATAGGATTAAATGCTAGCATTATATGATAAAATGCTAATTTTGCTTAATTAGGCCATTCCTAGCATCGAGTTCCTGTTGATCAGAGCACTCCCAAGCAGATAAAGAGGCTGATAAGGAACTGTCTTCATAGAAATAAGAGAAAGTTTCTAAACACTGATATGGAAAAAACCCTAGTAAATGGCTGCATAGATTAACGCCGTGGCTCTGTGGCCTAACTACGGTGGAGTAAATGGGAAACTCTCTCTAATTCTCTCATCTCAATTTGCTGTTTTACTCTTCCTCCCGACTTGCCCTCCACTTAAACCAGTCTTAAAACCAGACTGGAAATCTGGCGGCTGCTGGGACACGAGCAGCATGGACACGCACACCCCAGGGCTGAGGGCACAGTGTGTTTCCACGCTCAGAGTTGCTATTTCATGAGAGCTGAACTCAGCTCAAGCGACTGCCCTGTTCCTCGAGGATCCTCTTTTCGCAGCTTTTCCCAATTAAACAGACTCTTGCCACCCAGTCCCTCCTCCCACATCTCGAGCTTCTCTCTGGTGCGCAGGTCTTCCCACCGTCCTACCTGCAACAACCCTGAGGCTGAGAAATGATCCATGAAGGGGGGAGGGAGGATCCTGAGCAAAGTGTGCTGCTTGTGGAAGGGAAAGGGAGAGCTCGATGATGCTCTGCAATTGCCAGTCCCACCACACGGTTTTCACTGCCATCTGCCAGGGTCTGGCTGGGACTGGCACAGCTGGAGCCCAAAGTTTTCACATCCCAGGGAAAAAAAAAAACAAACCAACTTGCAAGCTGCAAGATGAGAAGTTCAGCCTCTCTGAAAAGGAATCCTTTGTTAAGTGATCTTCTAATGTTAAATTTACATTTCTACATGCTCACGGCAAGTTAAAAATAAATAAATTAAAGTATAACAATTAGGCAATTAAACAATGCCCAGATAGAGATGGAAACCGGCAGGATGCCAAAGAACAGGCATTTGGGTGATGTTAATTTTGTGATACATTGCATTTGATACTATTTCTTTCTCATTACACACGTCACATCAGTCTCCCTGTCCTGTCATGTTCCCGGTCCCCGTATGCATCACAAGACAGTGATGGAGAGGAGGAGGAAGAGCTGGCAATGAGAGGAGGTGCAGGTGCAGTGCCTTGTTCTCAGATTGCGGCCAGTGTTTTCCTTTTCTACTCAAGGATGCTAAAACCAGTTCCAAAGTTTGTGTTTCTCTAAGAATTAACTCCTTATCTTCCAAATCCTTTACTGGACATAAATTCCATCTTAAAAAAGAGGGAGGTTTAAGCAGGAAGATGCAGAAAGGGGCTGATGGGACACAGGCATGAAGCAGAGGGCTCAGGCTGACCTGGCATCCCATGGAGCAGGAGGTGCAGATGTGCTTCTCCTGCTTTCATCTGCATGGACCATCCCATACCATCACCACACTGTGCACAAGCACCCCCTTTTGCCACGGGGGAGTCATAGGGACCTGGAAACAAAGCCCACACTCAATTTTCATATTATCCAAGTTACCCAAATTACCAAAGTTATCCAAAAGAGTAAATGACTCAGTGATACCTCTTGGAAAACCCAGCATCAGCCTTGGAGGAGCTTGTGGATAGGAAGTAGTTTGACTCTGACTAGAGATCAGAACTGCCCTGGATAACAAAATAGTTTGCTCTGAATGTGACTTGTCCTTCCATGGCATGTCCTTCCATGCCATTTGCAAACCTGTGCCTAAATCCCCTCTGCCAGTCTGCCAGCCTTTGAACCCTGCTTTATATTCCTGCTGGGACCATTGCTGCTTGCACCCAGCCAGCCTGGCACAGAAAGGGTGGTTCTGTATAAATTTCAAGAAGGGGATCAAAGAAGCAACACCTTGCTCACCCTCATATGAAGGCTGTTCCTCACTCCATATGAGGACTGTTGCTCACCCCTTATGAGGGCTGTTTCCCACCCTGGGGTAAGGGGAATGACCTGAGGGTAACATCTGTCCATATCAGCACACACTGATCCCTTCTCTGCTGCAGCCAAGGCTGTAATTTCTGGTCCCAGGCTGTGGACACCCATCCACAACATTGCTGAGCCATAGCCCATTGCACCAAGCAGGTTTCCTTGTTCTAATTTCAGCAAGTACTTCACTGAAGAAACAAATTTTAAGCAGAAATTCTGCCTCTGGTCAGTCGCTGTTGCACGACTCCGACTTACAGCATTTGACAATCTGATCAACATGCCCAAGAGAAGTGTCTCTTTAAACCTCTCCAGAGGCCAGATAATTTCTTCCTGGGTCTAGCTCTCTGCAAAAGCATCCCTCCTTCCCAACAAGTGACGTTCAGAGGTGACACAGAAACAGCCACTGCTCTGCCCAAGCATCCCAGCATGGCATGGAGCTGGCTGGTAGGCAGGTACCACGGATAACCCTCACGCATCCCCAGGAAATAAAGCCATCCCGATGCTGAGCTTGGAAAGGGTTATTCTTCATAGAGGAAAAAGAATATTTAAGACTGCAAAACTTCCTTTGACAGGGTTGTCTTTTAATTACCCCGTGGAATGATAAAATCCCAGCACTGAAAATGTGTCTTTACAAATCTCTAGCTGGAGTAATTAGTCCCGTGCCTGGCTCTCCTGAGAGATTATTGCTGCCTTCTTTTCAGATTACTTACCCAAATAGAAGTGGAATCATTGCTATGTTTGACAGTGAGATATAAAATATCAGATAAAGCTGTTAAAATACTGTTTCACACGCTGCGTTTCTGCAGAGTAAGGAAGCATCTGCTCTCTCAGTATCAGCAGCAGAGCCGAGCAGAACATTCACAGCTGAGGGCTGAGACGATGAATCTCACTTCTTTTTTTGCTCCTGGTCATTCCTGGAAAGATCCATCTACTCAAGAATCTAGTCATTAGTCAAATGACTCAAATAACATTGTTTGCAGCTTGTGGCCATTTTAAGGTCTGAACGTGCTCATGGGGTTTCAGGTCTGGTGAGTCCCTTGCTATGGTCTGAGGAACTCAGCTGGAATGCTTATGTGGCAAAGGCAAAGTTATCCAGGGGTAGCTCTGAACCCTGAAAAATCCAGGTCTTATGACACCGTGCGGATGTATTAGGTGGACATCTCTGTAAAAGCATCTCCCTTTGTGTAGAGTTGCACGTAGGGGATGCAAAATGTAGCTTGTGTCCCTCCACTTATACACTTACTGGTATGAGCTCAGAAGGAAGTTTCTCATTAGATATGGCATCAATTTGTGGTGAGATTTCCCTTAAAGAAGTTAGGGTTGCTATTTATTACTTTCTGGAAAAAAAAAAAATCTTTCTTTGTGAATTAAAGCGCTCACTACTTGCTATTTATTACTTTCTGGAAAAAAAAAATAATCTTTATTTGTGAATTAAAGCGCTTACTATGTTATGTCAGGCTCTTAAGCTAAGAGTGCTCAAAAAATGCATTACTGACAATCTTCATCAGCCACCGAGCTGTTGTACAGATCACACCCTGGTTATTCCATTCTCCTCTTACCCACAGGACAAATTCATATCCGTACATGAGCACCCCACAGCCCTGGTGGAACTGATGTGTCAGCTGCAGGGGCAGCAGCTCCATCGGGGAAGCAGCATCCCAGCCTTGCCTGCTTGATAGTCTGTTCCTTGCCATTTCAAATAAATGTTTTTCTGTAATTCTCACTTCTTCCGAGGCAGATTTTGTGTCTCACTGGCTTCTAGTGTAGCCCAGCATTGCAACAGAGCCAACCCCTGGGTCACCAGAGAGGGTGAAGAGAGCTCAAGCAACTCAACTAGGATAAGGAGCCAACAACTATCCTGTCCATGGGGAAATTAAAACCATCCTAACACCTTCCAAGTATGAATATTATGGGTCAGAAGTGTGTTCTGAAGGTTTATAGTCCAACTTACATGCTCCACTAGGTCCATCTGCAGCAAGTTCTTAGGTTTTTGTTCAGTCAAGTTCTGAATATTTCCAAGAACAGAGACCCCATGGTTTTCCTGATCCTCAGTTCCAGTGTTTCACCACCATGTGGTGATAAAATTATTCTTCACAGCTTAGGAGAACTTCCCTTGTTCCAGCTGCTGCCTCTCATCCTCCCACTGCATGCCTGTGGGAAGAACATGGTCCCATCTTCCCTGCACGATTCACCAGGCAGCGATGAAGTCTTCCCCTTGCCTTTTCTCTGGTCTGAACAGACAGGGACTGAGCTCCATATCTCAGCCTCCCTTCGTCTGTCCCATGGTCCAGCCCTGGCCACCTTGGCAGCCTCCACTGGATCTGCTCCAGCAGACCAGCATCTTTTTTGTCCCGGGGAGCTCCAAAACAGGCACAAGATGAAATACAACTGGTTTCCCACACCGGGAGTTGAACCCGGGCTGCCTGGGTGAAAACCAGGAATCCTGACCGCTAGACCATGTGGGACCACAACTGCCTCTGCCACCTGCCCTGCCCTGGACCTGCAGGGACAGATAGTCCAGCTCCTGGGCTCATCCAACAGCCAACCTCACCATGACCCCATCCTTCTGTTGCCTGGTGCACCCCACAGCCTGGAGGGGCTCCTGTAGCAGAGGAACTTCTGTGTGATGATGAACTAGAAAATCTTGAACATCCCTTCCAACCCAAACGATTCCATGATGCTATGAAACACAGTGATGTAAAAAAGGCAGTGGCCTGAGGTCTTTGATCCAGCTAGGGCTCTGCTGGGACTGTCCTGCAGCTCCACTCCAGAGTTCATGGTGGGACAAGCAGAGTCCCAGGCAAGCCCAGTCCCACAGGAGTTCTGCTCCACAAAGCACCCCTGGATCGCAGCCCCAAGCATCTGCCCTCGCATCCATCACCTCGGGATGCTGCTGTGGAGCTGAAGGCAAGGTCACACATGGGGCCACACAGCATTATTAATGATAATTAGTGGCCTAGCATTGCAGGAGCTAATTCCACCCAGAATAAAGGCAAATGCACAAGCTGCTTCCACTTTATTTCATTTGATTACACTTTTTTTTGTTGTTTTTGCATGATTCCCTACAGTAAGTAGCTCATAATTAACAGAGGATGAATAACATTTCTGCCACTCTGCGTATTAAGTTTTCTCACAACAAATGAAAACATAATTGCCATTACACAGCGCCCTTATCTGAGGAAACACCCAGCAGTTGGGATGATGGAGATTTACTGATAGGCACACACTTCTTCAGCCACTTAGGGATGAAAACAAAATGCTCGTGGCTTAGGGGCTGGAGCTGCTGGAGTCCCTCAGCACCCCTCCACCATGGGCCCACCACCAGGACCTCAGGAGGTAGCTCAGGGGGCTCTGTGGCAGAGGACCTCCGGTGGAGCAAAGGACAGGATGAGTTTGTCTAGTAAGGGGATGCACAGGAGATGGTCTCTCCTTCACCTTGACCAGGGAAACCCCCAAAACTGATGGCGGGAGGCAGGTCTGAATAGCTGACCAGGAACCTTCTCACACCTCTGAATTGTCATGGCAGCCAAGACAGATGGAGAAGCCACAAAGGCTGATTAAGTGCAGACACTCCCCGGGGTAATGAAGTCTGTCTAACGAGCCAGAGGTCTTGGTTCGAAGCCATGGGGCTGTCAGCTTGCACGGTCACCATCCAGCTCTCCACCAGGCTGGGGATTTCCAGAACAATATTAATGCCCCATCTCCTGCACACAACCAGCAGCTTACTGGGGACACTGGGATGGAAGGAGTGGAAAACGTTTCTTCTCCTAATAGAATATTTTTGATTGTCAGGAAAAAGTGACAGCTAAAAACCCTGTGCATTAACCCCATGAGCTTGACTGCTGTTGCCAAGGAAAGGGGACAGAGGCTGTTCTGGTGCCTGGAGGTGACATGCAGAGACGCCTGCCCAGATCAGGGACTTCTCCTAGGGACATGGTAAGACAATGTCCAGGCAGGTCTTGCTCCAAGGAGGATGAGTAGGTGTATATTTGTTTCTCAGTTAAGACATTTTACACACGATTTTTCTCTCTCTCTCTTTTTTTTTTTTTTTTTTTGATGAAAAACAGGTTGGCAGTAACAAACAAATGAGAACAAACCCTTCTGCTTCTCATGGCCAAACTCACACAGCCTGTCCATGTGTGGACATCCATGAAGACACACATATCTGAAAGGACCATGGCTTGCCCAACCAGGGATCAAAACCTGTCGTCTCTGACCCTGAGCATCCAGCTCCTGATGGGATAACAGCTTGCAGGACCACGTTCTCCAAAAAGCCAGCAGAGAAACTCCTTGGGGGTTTTCCTGGGCTGCACAGCCACACAACATGGCTGTGCAACCACCACCATTCATGGGCAGATGGGGAAGATGAGCTCTGCATGCCTCCTCCCACCACATAGGAGCTGCCTCCAGCCTTCAAAATGAAGCCATGTTTGCCAAGCCCACCCCAGCTGGAAGCACAGAGGAGTATCTGATGCAGGTGACTGATGTTCACAGCATGCTCCTGTTGCTTTTCTAGAGCTCTTGCCCAACATTGGAAGAGAAGGATTCTTCATAGTAATTCCCAAACATCACACAGTATTGCCACCCTCTGTACAGTTCCTTTTTCTTCCTCTTCTGCTGCTATGAAGCCTCCTTGGAAAGTCTGGTCTGATTTTTATTTTTCCTTCTTCAGTAGGTTCAGGTGAACTCCAGACTCTTCACCCCTGTCAGCTCTGCTCTGCCCAGACCTTGGGTCTCTCTGAGTACGTTTGTAAAGTGACAGTTTGCCCCAGAGAGAACAACCTGGAGCATTTCTCCGTTCTGTTTGGCTCATGTTAAAAGCCCAGGCTTCCCAGTCGTGGTCATGATGCTGGTGTAGCATTGCAGACAAAATGTTCAGGGAGGATATAATTGCCAGTTGCTTCGTGCATTGCCTCCCAGCATCTTATCTGAACTTGTTGAAAGTTAATTCTCATCACAGAATGAGAGAAATAATGAGTTTCTGGGAACAGACCCTGTCCTGGCCGCACTTTCCAAGCAAATAGGGGCACAGAATACAGACATGGCAGAAAATGCTGAACTGTGCTGCTGTGTTTCAGAAAAGAGCTTGATCACCCATGTGCTGGATGTAATTAGTGCTCATTAGAGCTACTTATCATACAGACACTCCCAGAGGCCCTGCCAGGATTTCTGCTGGGCACTGAGCAAATCCACAGAGAGAGACTACCTGCTCCCAAACCTCAATATCTGAAAAGCAAATCTCCTCAGGGCAAGGAATGAAATGATTTTTGAGGTGGAGCTTGACCACCTTGCCAAAGTGACACCCAACAGGGTTTGCTGCACGGGTCAGGGACAGGACTTGGTGTCACTTGGTGTCACTTTGCTTCAGTTCTCCTCCATACCCAATAGACTGATCGCTTGACCGGGTGTCTTCCTACATCCAGGCCAAAAAATATTCCTTTTCAGAAAAGCTGCTGGCCGATGCATCCCAGCGCCCAGTGCTCTACAAGAGTGAAGCTGGGCTCTGATGTCTGGCCCTTGGAGAAGTGTTGCTGGAGGTCCTACACTAACACGGCATCCTTGTCCCACCATCCCACCGCTCCTCCCTTGGCAGCGTGCTGGGGATGAGCCCCCATCACCACGCCCTGCCTGCAAGGGTTCCCCGCTCCTGATGTTTCCCCAGACATGCAGGAAAATAATCATTCATTTAACATTTTGGAAGCCTTGTTGGAATCCTGTTGCCATCTCTCAAACCAGCCCAGCTGCGCGCTTATCTGCTCACAGTTTTTAGGCTGGATTAGAAATAAACAGAAAGTTATGAAAACAAACTTCAGTGCTCTTAGCACTTTGTTCCAGTTGTGAGTGTTTATACTCCAGGCGATGCCTCTGTATAACTACACCAGCTCAGGCCAAACACGCTGTATTATGAGGGCGCCTGCCAGCCCCCTACGAAAGGCTATTCCATTTTAATTTGTCAACCACAAGTGATGAGCTGGAATCCAAATAAAACACAAATGAAAACCATCCCTCCCAAAGGGATTTACAGCCTTTAAAAGATTCAAAGCAGACCTTCCAAAATATTCCCAGGGCTGGGAGCTGGATGATTTCCTCCTCACACAAACTTTCAGGAGTGACACTCTATTTTCAACGTGGTTGCGGACCACAGAATAGCAGAGGGAGAGGCAGATCTTTGGTGACAGCCTTTCAAAGGATGTAGGGGTACACCCTGTCCCCTCCATTTGCATGTGGATGTCATCGAAAGGCTGTCACAGCATGTCAGTGATGTAACAGTCTCGGGACATGTCACAATAAAGTCCTATTTCTAATTAAAAAAATATTTTTCTATGTAATTTGAATACTACAAGAATACCTAAAAAGCCAGAAGCGACCACGAAGACAACCAAGATCTTTTGAAAATGAAGAATTCTCTTGATAAATACATCTCTTAATGAAATACAAGCAATTAAACTAAAAGCCCTATCGAATGCTGCTTGTCACTCCACACATTGACATTTAATTGAATTTTTTTTCCATCCCCTGGTCCCTTTTCCCTGATAAACAAATTCATTCACAACGGATCAGGTTTCACTAACCTAGAAACCAGATGATAGTCAATCAACTAATTGACACAACAAAGACTTTTATATGAAAAAAAAATAATTCCTCTAATTAAAGCTCAAATGAAATTTAATGATACACAGACGTCTTATAGTAATGAACAGTCTTCTTACATTAATTACTCTGGGTTTAACCCTTTCCCTTCTTCTGGTCACCGAAATTGTGAGAAGGATGATGGAAGCAAAGGCAGTGCCCAGCAGAGAAAGTCCAAGGGTTTGCATTGTCTCTGCTGGGACATGGTCCAGATGGAGCAGGGTGTGCATGGGTGACCCAAGGGCTCTTCGGGTGACCCAGCTGCTCCGGGTTAAATCAGTAAGTGCCATCACCACCTCTTCTTCTTCCCTACCTGCTGCCATATTTAGAGAAACCATTGCTCTGCTTGCCCCATGCAACCATGGTGTTCAAGCCTGTATTTTCAGCGATGCCTGGTGACAGGACAAGGGGCAACGGGCACAAACTGGAACACAGGAAATTCTGTCTGAGCATGAGGAAATATTTCTTCCCTGCGAGGATAGCAGAGCCCTGGAACAGGCTGCCCAGAGAGGTGGTGGAGTCTCCTTCTCTGGAGAGATTCAAGACTCTCCTGGACATGTTCCTGTGCAACCTGCTCTGGGTGACCCTGCTCTGGCAGGGGGTTGGACTGGATGATCTCCAGAGGTCCCTTCCAACCCCTGCCACTCTGTGATTCTGTGTGGGTCAGGAATCAACACAGAATGGCCTAGGAAGGATGGATGGATAGATGGACGGATGGATGGATGGATGGATGGATGGACGGACGGACAGACAGACGGATGGGCAGACTCTTTGCTCTCTTACTGCAAGGCATCAGCCATCATGGTGTCCTTGGGAACTGCATTCTGGCCCAGCA